AAAGAGGGGAATGTTGCCCTGGTGATAGAAAGTAGCTGGTAAAATGTAGAAGTTACCTGGTGTTATTGCATGGCAGGCAGGTTATAAAGTGCCATAAATCCAATATCTATATTTAGTCCATGATTGTTTGTGTCCAGTGGATTTATGAAGTTCATAGGCTCGTCTATGAAAGGGGTTTTGTAAATTCCCTTTGAGGATTAGAACTGAGAGACTGGAGAGAAAGTAGTTGTCTTGTGGGAAGTCTGCACCCACAGGTAATTAGGTATTTTTGTCTTTGATAGATTTTCAGTGTGGGTTCATTCTGGTGCACAGTTGTTGTTTGCTTTCTCCTACATATTTTTTATCAGGGCATTTAGTGTAGTAGAAGGTTATTCTACTGCACTCATCACTAAGAGAATAAAGTGTGTCTGAGCCATCAGACAAGGCATAATGGAAACCTGCAGAGCCATTTTGCATTGATTCCACGTCTTCCAGACAGTGGATTAGGACAGGACATTCCAAGAACAGGGGAAAGACGGTCTCTGGGCACGTTGTCTCAGAGTTCAGGGAGGCTGCTCTTCTGAAGTCTTCTCTAAATTACCCTGTGGAGCATGGGATATTTGTTGTAGCCACGTTGATCTAGAGACAGGCATACAAAACTCTAGGGGTAGAAGTGATAACTTTAGTCTAATAAAAGATATCACCTCTACCCCAAAAGTGTGTCTGTCTGTGGAGCATAGGTCTCCACTAGAATTAATCATGAAATGCACTGAGTAGTACTGCCCCTCAAGTCTATCCTTTAAAATATATTCTTTTCTAAATAAAATGACCTTGCTATACAGCTGGACCTATCGGGAGCCTCGCAGGCTGAATGACATGGCTCTGTGGGTCAGATCTGCCCCACAAGCTGAGGGTTGAGCCTCCCTAATTTACTCAGTTCAGGAAAAATAGTAATTTACAGTTGTGTTCATGTTACCCCTTAATAGCACTATGGACATGTATCTATTATCTGGCACTGCTCACAAGAACCAAGTATTGCCTCAAAACTCTAGGATGCTTGGCCTGTACTTTTCCTGGCAAGGTACTGATGAATAGTTTAATAAAAACAGCAATATTACATAAAAAGTAGACGATGTCTCATTCTCGGCACTCAGATACCATAGTGATACATGCACTGAAAATCACATAGGTTAGGTGAGCTGTGGTGAGCAGTGTTTCCTTTGGACAAAGTTACACATATGGAAGCTGTGCCGACAGCTGCTGAACTTTTTATAAATGTCTGTAGTACAATTGAGGGCATGGTCACACAAACAACTTACCATGATGTAAACAAGGTTGATAATTTTACTGCACAGCAACTGCTATACCTATAAATGTTCAATGCTCTGCTTCACAGTGAATGAAAACTAAGTCCTAGGACCTCACCTCCTCAGCGAAGGGAGGTAGTAGCACACACACACTGCAAGTACCTTGAATTAACTGCACTTGAAACTCTGGCTTTAGTCAATGTAACGTAAGAAATAAACACAATATAATAGATGGGCCTAATCTAAAGCCTATTGAAAAAAAATAGAAAGACTCCTATTGTGTCCAGTGGGCTTTGGATCAAACCTTTCTCCTAGATGTTTTAGAGAGTTATAAAGGCCTGTTTCAAGAGAACTTTAAGATGTTTCTTGACAATGAAAATTTACTCAGGTCTTCATGTAAGGAGACTTACTTTTACCATTCACTATGAAAATAAGAGTGAGCTGGCTTCACCACATTGGTATTTTCCACCTTAGCAAGTGACAGACACAGAGTCAGATGTTGTTTGTAATAAAATCAGAGGGTGACTCCTCTCTGAATAAATTTAATAAACAAAAGGAAAATCAGGAACATTACCAACAGCAGTAACAGATGAACAGGAAGGAATGGTGCACAGGTAGGATTATACAGGTAGGATTACATATTTAACAATAATTCCAGTCTCTACCCAAAGAGCTCTCCCAAGAATGAGAAGGGACAATCACATCAACAGATAGTACCACTTTGAGATGATGCATTTGTGTCATTGGTTACTGACCTGTCTCTAACTATCAGCAAGAGCAATGTATTAGCAAACTGTGCAGTTCACCATCAGGAAGTGGGTGTTGCAGACAGGAACCACCTCCACCTATTTCTCTTTCCTCTAACTTGCACTAACTGTTGGTACAACAGATAGCTGCTATCTTTACTGGGTGGGTACCACTATTTTGAGGGCATCTGTTAGGCACACTCATCCACTCAATACAATTTGACTTCTGCTGTAGGTGAGTTTTTTTCTTAACTACAGTATAGATAAATAAATTAATAAATGACTGTAACAAGGCCTCAGCTACCTCAAAACAGCGGCAGTATAAGTGCTCCTAATAGGGAAAGGAGTGCACCAGTGAAAACTGGACTGGCTACAGCCCAGCAACAGAAACATTTTCAATGTATTCCTCACAGAATAAGTTGCAATAGATTACAGATCCTTAAATACAGAAGCAAAGACCTAAATGTATTCAGGATGCCAAAGGGTCTTTACAGACCATGAACTGCCAGCCTGGCTTGCCAGACTTTGCACATGCAAAAGAGGACATGGAGCGAACAGAGGGGAATGGACAAATTTAAAACATAAAAATAAATTGTCTTCAATCACCTTCCTACCCACTTCATTCTAATGAGTTACTTGAGGTGATTCTAAGTAGTCCTAATACAGAAGTCTGATCCCAAACTGAAAAAGCAGGTCTAAGAGCGACCTTAGACTCAGAGAATTACACTAGAGAGGCAGCTTTGCTAAAGTTAAAGTTGACAACCTCTTTCTGCTTAAAGTGCTCTAAAATCCAGATGCTTACTCTGATTTTCCTGGAATGTGGTATGCCTCATGGGGGTGCTTGGTTTCTTCATAAAGGCAGGTGCTTAAATGGATTTCACTGCATGTGTATAGACTGAGTAGCCAAAGGCCTTCCAACCTTTCATTTGAGCTGGGTAGCCCAAGGGGATGTGTAGCAGTCATCAAACCTTCCATACACGTAGCTAGTGTCAATTCAAATCTGACCCTTGGTTGAAATCTGTTGAGGGGGAAAGTAAAAGAAGTATATTGCTGCAATCTGTCAGGGATCTGGGGGGAAATGTAATTCTAGAAGAGAGAGAATTCAGCAAATGTTCAAACTATTTCAGCAAATACTATAAATTCCATGAGAGGATGCTTGCTGGGAGGGGAAAGCAACTCTCGAGGATGAAAAAACGGGGAAAAGGATTTGGGGCGGTGTCAAGAGGATGGAAAAAATGGACATGAGTGGGAGGGAAAGATAGAGGGGCTTAAACCATGGGAAGGGTGAGGATCATGTTGAACAGGGTAGACCAGAAATGATAGCCCTAGAAGGGTGGCAGGGCAATTGGGCGGTATCTGTGTCAACCCTATGAACTCTCCTAGGTGTACCAGGATCTGGAAGTGGGGCTGTATCTGAGAAGCTGCGATCCCCTTTCCTTGGTCTCCCATGTGTGCCAGGATCTCAAGGGTTCTCTCCCCTTCTGGGAGTGTCTGAGGCTGTCTACCTGTTTCACTGTAAGAGCTGAGCTCTGAAGATTGCTGTACATTTTAGCAGGAATCTCAGCTTGTGCTAGGATCTGGGTGTATCCATGAATGTTTAAACCGCCCTCCTTATTTTCTTCCAGTTGTAAGTCAACACCTGCAGAAGCCCAGTACCACTTCAGGGTGAGCTGAGAATACCAAGAGCATAGTGATGAACCTGGCATGAGGAGTTGAGAACAAGTATGCCTGATGCATATCTCTGGCTTCCTTATTCAGATACAGTCTATTACATTTTCAGATATTAAAAACACATCCAAGTGTACAGATCTTATCTGACTTGTTTATTTGTTCCCATGTACATGGTGATTAGAACTGGAACCCTAAATCCCAATAGTTCCCAACTCAGAAAACATTGAGAACTTAAGTGGATCTGAGCCCACTTTTTGAAATCCACATCTTTGGTCATTTCTGCTGACTGCTGTAATATGGACAGAGCAGACTGATGGTAGGTTCCTTTGCTAGTTGAATGCAGCCAGCAGTTGTTTTTTTTAATTTCAGAAGCCAGGTTTTTTTAAGGAATCATTAGCAAATTGTTTCCCTTCTTGCTGTCTCTGGCACTCATTGCCTCAGGCCTTGTCAGAAACAAATGTCAGTATAATGCAGAAATCCAGGACACAGTCTTCCATCCCAGGAAAATAGCACCAAGATTTGCATTGAATTCTACAGGGGCACAGAGGGCTTAACAGACTAAAAGATTAGTTTATTGATCAGTTCTGGTGCCCAGAAGAAAAATTGATTTTGTTTTTTGGCCATCTAGTGCTCATGAAACATATTTTTAAGCTCACCCCCTCCAATCCCTGGGCCAGAAGTGAGAGTAATTTACTTGGAGTACATACTGCCTGCACTTAATCTATTCAGTCTAACAGTAAATGGTAAATTAGATGCAAGTGACTTAAGATATCTGTTTGTCTCTTACATTTGATGCACTGCAATGAGGAAACTCCTGTTCAGGAATTGCAGGCAGTATCTTTGTTGCTTGTACATTAGCTGAGGGTCTTCGTTGGTGGGTCTCCTCTGTTAAAAGTTAAAATAATTTTTAAAAACAGCTAAGAGATCTGCAATGTGTTAGATATTAAGGGTGCATCCAGATGAGCGCACACATGCAGTATGCAACACCTGTGGCAACACAAATTGCACATGCCACACATGCGGTTGTTTGCTGCACTGCTAGTTTGCAGCACAGCAGGTTATTTTTTAACCTCAGTGTCAAAAATACCCACACCTGAAAAAAACAGGGTGGCACACGTAGCAGCAGCGTGCGCTGCCCAAAACCAGAGTCTGCCTGGCCAAAGCCACACTCCAGCTGCCAGCCAGGCTTCATATGCCAGGTTGCCACTGCTGGAGCCCTGGCCCCAGAAGACCAGGTAAGGCTGCTGGAGCCAGCCCTCCCCTACCCACCAGGGGCAACTTGCCACATGCCAGAATGCACATGCATGGGTGTTCCCCTGAGACAAGTAGCAGTGGCACAACAATGTGCCACTGCTATTTATTCCTGGGGAAATGTACGTGAGTGCTCATCTGGATGTGCTCCAAAATAGAATTTTCCAAACTGGTTCTGTGACTTAAGTGGTAAAGAGAGGTAGTTAGTTGTGTTAGTCTGAAGTCAGGAAGAAGACAGGGTAGATTTGCACCTCATAAACTGACAAAATAAGAGATGTATAGCATAAGCTTTCATAAGCAGTTGGCCTACTTCATCAGATGCTGTGAAGGGACTGCCATAGGACCAAATTTTCTAAGTTATTTTATGTGCTTAACAATGCAGATAAATGCTTCTAGGAATTTTGAAAAGCACCTAACCTAGGAACCTAATTTCCATTTGAAAATCCCAGTATTAGGAGCCAAAGTCTCATTGAAAGGTCAATTGGGTTAAGGTACATAAATCGCTTTGACACTTATGAAAATTTTATCCATAGAAAAAATACAGCTCCATGTTTAATAAGAGTATGCAAACTCAGAGCCATGTATTAGTTAGGGTGAGCATACAGTCTATAGACTTTCCAGTGTATCATGCCTTATGAGTGGGCTCAGTTACCATCACACAGGGACATGCAACAAGATATCCAAAGGCCACTGTAGATAAAAGAGTAACATGGAGTGTTATGAGAGATCATACAATTACTGAAAGCAGGTAGTTTGTACTTCTGAAAGAGGACACCCGTCACTTACAAGCAAAAGGACCTTGGGAGGACTCAGGTAAGGAGCCTGAAATGGGGGAAATAGAATGTGCAGGGAGCTTTGTTTAAAGAGGTCACCGTTATTGATGCAGTACATTTTCTGCAGATCTGAAATGGGATGGTGTTGCAGATACTAATTTAACTGCAGATCTCTTTCCTGCCCAACTACATCTCTGCCCAATGTATAAATGCCCTCCTATGTGCTCATATGGAAAAGACAAATTATGCCACAGATATTCTGCTTCCTCCCCCTCACCATTTCAACTCTCATTCAGGTATCTCCTCTTTGTACCCAGGCATCTCCTCTGTGCCTACCTAGAAAAGACAGTTTCACTCTCAAAATGTAAGCAATTATATAAGAAAAGCAGATTGAGAAAGTGACACAAATAGTAATGGGATTCCAGTTAAGGTTTAACCTTGGAGGAATCCAGGGAAAAATAAAAAGTAGTATTTTCCCTCCATTATGCATGTTAAATGGAGAAATGATCCCACATGTGTGCTGCGCCAGGGTTCTGTTCCTACTGTCTGTGAATGTGACTGTACCTGGGCAGCCGAAATCAAATGTAACCTATAAAAAAGAATCTCTCAAACTGCCTCTGCTCCCTTGTAAAACATAGTAATAGACCTAATGTAGTCATTAGATTTCACATTTTTCTGTTGAAATGTCATGCCTTTGAAGTCAGTGGGTCTGCTGTAAATATTGAATGCTGTGACAAGATTTGCTTTTTCCAGCATTACTCACCTAAGCTGCAGTGGAAGAGATAACTGTTCAGCTATGTCAAATATTAACTAAGGAGGAACAGAATTAAATATGTGATGCTCTGTTTGGCCTAGATTTTAAAAAGTCTCTCCTATCTCATCCTTGCATCTATTTAATACTGCAGCAGAAGCATCCTGTCAGCTTACCTCACTAAGAAAAAACATTGCAGAGTAGAAGGCAGCCATGAGCCTAGATTTAAAGTTCTGTGAAATGCTAATGCTGTTCTAGATCTCAGGCCAAAATTTCACTCTTATTTACATCCCATTGACTTATATAAGAGTGCACAAGAATAGCTGAGGGAAGAATAGGGCGCATCTTCTCTAATGTCATAGTCAAGGACTATCATGTTAATAGTATCAGAAGGAGAACATTACAGAACTTGTAATCACTGAACGGCAACATGTATAATACACACTGGGTGCACTCATTGAGGTGCATAGCCTCAGGACTGAAAAAAGACTACATACCTACTCAGGAGTATAACAGGGCAGCTCCACACCCTGGGCAGCTTTAGGACATGGAGCAGTGATACCTGTCACGCTGCCTGTAGTGATGATGAAAGTAGCTATTTTTGTGCCCCTTCATCCCCAGGCAGCAGCCAGGGCTGTTGCCCCCATCTCCCACTTTCAGTTACACTACCGTGCCTGCTCAGATTTTATACATACCTAAATTCAGTATAAAAAAATGCTCAATAAACAGACAGAACTGTGCTGCTTGCAGATCCACAACTGACTAGTTCCCCTCATTCTTCCAATTTCTAATAGTTTCAGGGCTGTTGGTAGAAGCCATGAAAATAAGAGGAACTAGTCAGTTTGGGGGCTGGGCTCCTAGTGACACAGACCTGACCACCCTGTATATTTAACTAACACTATTATTTACAGCACTGCTAGTCCTGTGACATTAGCAAACCTAAAACTGACTAGCTTTCCCTCGTTTTCAAGGCCATTCGTAGCAGCCTTTAAATGCCTTACAAATGAGAGCGAACAGCCATGAAATTGGCTTCTGTCCTTTTCCAGGCTTCTAGCAGCAACCTTTCACAACTGCTTCCCCTTCACTGTCTCTAGTGCAGTTAAAGGAAATACATATATTTGCAAACTAGATAGCTATGGTTACAACCAAGCAGGCAGTTAACCAAAATACAATTAAGCTTGAATTAAGTTCAAATGCACAGCATCAGTGTGGGGTGAAAGATGCTGTGCATTTGAACAGTTATGCACTTCACTGATAACACAGACAACCAGAGTGGGTTACAATGTAAGAAACAAACAGCACGTTGGAACTGGCACTGTGTTATGTAGTCAAGTAAATGATGCACTTATCCAGCATGCATATAAATAGGGGAGTTCTTGAGTTCACTTATTTTCCTGTACTGACCACCCATGTCATTTAAACAGTGTAGGAAATCAACTGTGGCTAGGCTATCATGTACTCCACATGTAGGGGCGTGTAGAGTTTATAGACAAGAGGGAGTGATCACAGTCTAGACTAGGGGTGGCCAACCTGCAGCACAAGTGCCACAAGTGGCACAGGCAACCTTTGTGTGGCACACAACAGATCAGGAAAGGGACAGGCAGCACAGATCAGGCAGGGAGCAGAAAGCAGAGCAGCAGATTAAGTAGGGCAGGGGTGGGCAAAATGCGGCCCACCAGGCCATTCTATCTGGCCCACAGGGCCCCTACAAAATTTAGAAAATTAATATTTATCTGCCCCCAGCTTCCTGCCATGCGGCCCTCAATGGCTTGCCAAAACTCAGTAAGTGGCCCTCTGCCCAAAATAATTGCCTGCCCCTGAAGTAGGGCAAGGGGATCAGAGTGGACCTTGGAGAGGGCTAATTTGTGGCGCACCTGCCAAAAAAGGTCTAGACTGTGCTCTCAACAGCTTAGTACCTCAGAGCTAGCATGGAAAAGGAAGCCTCAACTTTTGCTTCTCAGAGCCCCAGTTCCCAGCTTGATCCTGCAAGACAGCTGCAGCCTGTTGCTTTCTTATGCTGGATTGTAAATTTAGAGTCTAGCTGTTAATTATTAATTATTACTGTCAATTTAAAACCCATATTTTAAGCCTACCAATTCAATTACTGTGTTACTAATCAAGCAAAAGGTAGGGCAAGGTAGCCTCTTAGGGATAAATTGGCTTTACAGCATGATCTTTAACATCCTAAACTGCTGAATTGTTCAGAGTTTTCAGTAGTCAAACTTGTCTCCACCATTTGTGTTGCTTGCTTACTTTTGCACTTTCCCCAGCTTGAACAAAGAGAGTCAAATAAGTCATGCTTGCTTTTATTTTATATTTTGTTTCTCACTTCAGAGTCCTTGGTTTCAATCACATGAAGTTGATGATTATTTATGTTAAGCCAAGTGGAGCTAGCTGGAGCATGTTTGTCTATTATGTCACTAACTGTCTTGACAAGGATGGCACTTTAAACAAACAAATATTAATCAATTAAAAGAATTGTTCCTATTGGAATTTAAAAAAAAACTCACTGAAAAACTTTAATTGGTTTTGGATATAATAAAATCCTGATTTTACAAAATTGAATTTGAAATTCAATTCAATTCAGAATTTTTTCTAATGGCCTCCCCTTAACTGTTTAGATGTAGATGTTGATCTTTTTATGCTGGGATTTCAGGGATGTAGCTGATTACTGTGTGCTTTTGCCTATACTTGAGCTCCATTAATTTTAATAGAAAAAATCATTAAAATAGTAAAAATCATGAAAATAACTCAAAAAATTCAGATGTGACATGAAAGCAATGGTAAAATTAATGTAGCAAAAATGTGTTGGAAAATATACCACGCAACTCACAAACAATTGAAGTCGCACATATGTTTCTGTTTCTATAGAAATTGTCTCTGAAATATTCGCAGACATTATGGGATTGTATTCAAAACTAGTCACAAGCTCCTATGCTATGAATATTAATTTGATAATGTTGAAAGCCAAAAGCATCATAACATAATAAAAAAAAAGCATACTGAAATATCCTAAATTTATTAAAATTAGCTTTATATCATAATGAGCTAAGCAAGCTCATCAGAGAATGTATCCTACTATGTAATGAGCCAAATTATGGCTCTTTGAGGCAATGAAGAGCTGCACCGAATGAGAAGAAATGCATCTGTCTGAGCAATGTGGCAGAAAGTATGTTTCTAATTGGGTTCAGCTAAACAAATAGTACAGTTATACTAATAGAATTCCTATTATGGGTATTCTAATTCCAGAATAGTTTATACTAGTATAATTTCTCATGTAAAATAAAGCTATATAAGGTATAGTGACTCCAGGGCCTCAACAGTAGGTTGCAGTGAGCTGTGGCTCTTACAAAACCATTTAAAAATATTGTCTTCAGTCCCTATAAATTGTACTTCTGGTGATTGGGAGCACTGCGCCCAAATCAGACATGCCACTGTAGGAGGAAGCAGCAATTCTATTTCTTATGGGAATGCTCAGTGTCTGCATACTAAATGTAAACAGTTAAGTATTTTATACCAAAGTATAGCTACTTCCTGCATGGAAGAAAGAGCATCCTGTGCTCTCTTCCTTTTCCAGGGAATACATTCAGCCAAGGACAATCATAATTTCATAGATTTCATGGATTTTTTGACCCACAATCATTTGGAAATCATGCCTTGCAGGGAACGAGTACTGAAATCAGTGGGAATTCTATATAAAAAGTAATACTAGCATTCAAACCAAGGGACAGAAAATCTTATCTTCTGCAGCCTTCTCGTAGTTTATATATTATTTAGATTCACAGAACAGGTGTGATATATCTCCAGGGTCCTTTAAGGTTCTTCTCTCCACATATGCAATTATTTGTAGTACAATGGAAACAGTTATTACATTGGAGAGCAGGGCTTTTAAGCCCACCCCAGAGAATGTACTATACATGTTTTTCCTAGCCTCCTCTGAATACCAACCTTAATTATCTGATTCATGAGCATAGGAAGACTGAAAATTTAGGACTAGTGTACAAGGTGAAAGACTGTAATTTACCACTTGGTAGTTAAATAAGCCCAGATATTTGTAGAACTATAGCCATACTAAACCAAACAATTCCTGTGCCTATGGATACAACCTTGTGACATATAGTATAAATCATTCTCCAGAGTGAAAGATTACACTTTTTGCCTCATCGTATCTGAACTTAGAATAACCTTTTATTTGTATCTACTCATCTTTTCCTAGATGAGAGATACTGTCATGTTCTCTCTGATCTACAGCTTGGTTTTTCTCACCCTAACTCTTCTCGGAAGGATATATTGTCTTCTTCAAAGTGTCTCAATGTTTCCTTTCTAGGCTCTGAATTATATACTAATAGTATTGAAAATGTTTTTGAGTACTGTGTGGAGAGGTACTTATAATCAATCCATCATCAAGATGGTAGATCTTAAACCTAGTATTTATGGGAAGCATTATTTCTTTCTGCGTGGTCTTGATTCTACTCAGAAGTATGCTGTTGTAACCCAGGAGTAACTTAATTGACATAATCTGTGGTGTGAAAACAGTAAAAATCAAATTAGAACCAGAGTCATTGTATTTGAAACACAGTTCAAACAATCAAGCAGCTTTTTCAGTCAACTGGATAGCCTGAAGTGGGAAGAGTATAAAAGAAAAAAGAACAGACCAATATTACATTCTTGCTTCTTCAACATCGTAAAGCTATCCTGGGATTTTCAGAAAACTCCACCATCAAAAAAGCCTGTAGACATACAATACTAAACAATGCCATTGTGAGCATGGTGATAAAACAGGAATGTTATTAGTGGGGTCTGCTAAAGACAAAAGATGGCAGAGACAGATTATTTCCTGAGGGATAAAAATAATGAGCTCATAAATACATCTTCTGAAGCTAGGCAGCTCTCTAAAATTTAGGAGTATAAATTGTATTCCCAGGATGGCTCAGGCAGACAGGCAGCTATTGACTCTTTTCTGGGTAAGATTGAAATGCCACAAGTTACTAGGTTGTAGAGAGAAATTATTGAGTCTCTTGTAGCTCCTGAAGAAATTGCCAAGACCCTTGCTAATATACTAAATGAACAGTGAAGTGCCCAAGCCTAGACAGGTTAAAAACATTTTTTCCATTTGCTGGCTTTGTAATTATATTTTTGCCATTTAAAACCTATTATAGAGGAACCCTGGTTCATGTTAATCTATAAAAAAAAAATTCTCTTTCTTGAAACCAAATTATGTGGCATTTATTAAAGGGTACATACTATTTCAGTAGTATCAATATTACTCAGAAACAAGGGTAGCAATTTCCTTTCATGCAGAATATATTTTGACTAAGTTTAATGACATTAGCAGTTTGATACTTTGCAGTATGTCAAAACATACAACATGGTTTATCTGTGCTAATAATAATACATTTTCAAAAGGTCAAATCCTGATTCCTCACAGAAACTGTAAAAAATGGCTTTGTGTTTGTAGAAGGAAAGGAATTGTTCCGTTTCACCCAGCTGCAAAATGCCAGCAGAACCATACACTACAGCTGTATCTACAGCAGAACCATACAGCTACTACAGCTGTATCCCTACTCTCTCCTCTGATGTGGGAGTCTGTCAAGAAAGGCTGGCATAGTCTGGGATCTTCCGGCTATATTACATCAAAAACCAGACCTCTTAGTCTGCCCAAGTCCTATGTGGAACTTAATGTGTGACAAGGCCCAAAAATGAGAAGAGGGAAGACCAAATTTAAAAAGCTGTGAGAATCACATTCCCTTAGCATACATAAGTCTTTCAATCACATTGGTTATACATTTCTTAGTTATGATATAAATGATTTTCAGTAAGAGAAATGAGAGAAAGCCAAATTCATCTGTGATCAAAGTAAATTTGGGACTAACCCGAGCAGCATTGCTTGATACAAGGGATATTTGACACATATTCCACAATTCCCTATTCAATGACACAAAAAGGGAGTAGATACACCCTGTGGCCTGGGCACTGACACATGTGGAACCCCCCCCCCAGCACTTTACCGAACGAGGAAGCATGTTAGTTCAACCTGGCTCCCCAGCGTCTCTATAGACTGAGTGCTTCAGCAGGGCTTTTTGGCACTTTTATCTAATAGCTGTTTCAATCAGCTATTAAATAAAAGTGCCAAAAAGCCCTGCTGAAGTGTGCAATCTATACAGATGTTGGGCAAGCTGGGTCAAAATAACATGATGCCTCTTCTGGGCATGCATTGCACTCAGTGCGGAGGGGTGCCGAGCTGAAAGTAAAGTACATCTGTAAGCAGCCAAAAAAGATGCCCCCTGCAGTAAATCACTAGTTTGAGGATCCAGGACTGTTCTGAAGGCTCCTGGATTTGAACTGGAGTAGTTTCTGCATGATATGGAGATTCATATACTTGTTTTTACTCAGCACTTTCCATCTGTGCTGAACAGAGGACAGAGTGCTTCTCAGTTATGCTGCTTCTTTACAGAGGACATCCTCAGAACTGAATGCCCACTATACTTTTGCCTTTTAATATCACGTTGTAACATTAGATGCCTAATTTGCCCATTCATACACATTCCTCTGTGTCTGATTTAATAATATACACTGTTCTGACTCTAGATTTAAATACTATCCCAGTCCTCACACACAAAATCCTAAAACTGCTGTGCTAGAAAGTTCAAGTGCCAATGAGAAGGTAGTTATGGTTCCCTTTTCTCTGCTTCTGGAATAACACTTTGAAAGGCCCCTGTATGTAAGAGCATTTGCCCAGACTGGTTCCTATACTCCCTTCACAATTTACTCCCACACATGAAACAGTTCTTCCACTTCCATGTCTGAACCAGCTCCTGTTCTTTGGGTGGGTGGTAGCAGTATTATTCTCATTCCACAAACCAGGTCCCTACATAGGCATATATAGTTCCTCAGCCCCCAGTGAGATTACACTAAACAGGTTTGCAGTTCAGTATCAATACATGTAATATAATAAACAGCAAAAGCAATACTGGAAAACAGCACATCTAGGAAAGACCTAAAGGAAGAAGTAGAACAACATTCAAGATCACTGTCCAGTGTGGTTGCTAAAAAAACATTATTGCTTTCCTTTGATGTGCTTCTGTATGTGGTGGCATGTATTTCAGTTGCCCATAGTTTCAGAAGGAACTACTAATCTGGCAAAAGTAGATAACAAGGTAACATTCTAGGACTGAAATATATAAAAAGAGACTGAAACAGATAAATATCGTCTAGAAAAGAGATAATTCAGGATGAGCATGATTGCTATCTGTTAAGCAATATACATCAAGAGAGAGAGAGAGGTAATTAGCCATGTTAGTCAGAAGTCAGACAGAAGGCAGGGCAGGGTGCCAATTTAAAGGATGGTGTCACACGTTCAGCTTAACACTTACTAAGTGCAGCGAAAACATGAGCAAGCATGTTCAAACAGCTTAGTACATGTTAAGTGCCATTGTGGCATTGCAAAGTTGCTTTCTTTCAGGCAAGGATTATCTAACATATTAACTTTAATGCATACTAACTTCAGTACATCACAACAGTCCAGTGATTTGCAACCATTGCAAGTTAATGTGTGCCTATACCTAGAAACTAATCAGAGGCATCACCTATAAAAGTATATGGACTCCAAGGTGCCACCCTGCCTTCTGTGTATATAGTCTCAGAAGATAGAAGAACAAGAAGAATTGGTTTGAAACAAAGGAAAGAAGTATTTAAGCTAGATAGATTTTAGGAAAACATTAAGAGCAATGGACCCATTTAAGCTAGATAGATTTTAGGAGAATATTAAAAGAAATGGGCCCATTCTTCCTGCTTCTATTGAAACTAATGGCAAAAATCTCATGGACTTCAATAAGCATAGCTAGATAATGGAGTAGATGAACAAGCTTGAGGGTCATGGCCTCATCCTTGCTGAGCTGCTATACTGGAGTGGAAATGAAATTGGGCACAGTACAATAACTAATTGTAAACATGCATGGAACCAGACAGGATTACTTGCAGGGTCTGTCAGGGCCTCTCCATGTGTCAGAATTTATTTTAGTTGTTTGCTTTTGTATTACTCACCTGAAAGGAGCGGAATGCCATTAGTAGCTGTAGATTCTCCTGGGTGTTTATATTCTTCTTTTTGTAGGATAACAGAAGCCATTCTTGCACTTTTGCTATCTAGTTTAACAACAAAATTAGTTGTTATCTAATCTAAATATTTTTGTTATTAGAGGGAAAATTGGTAATAACCCTTATAGTTAGCTTGCCTAATGCTTTTTAGTTTTAAAGAATTCCCATGACCTTTTTTTGAGCTTTAATACCTCCATTGTTTACAATAAGCCTTTGAAATCTGGCCTGGGGACTTGAATTCTCCAGTTAAATTCCATTCAGGTTGCCTTTGGAAAGGCAAACCTTTTTCCCTTCTCTGGTCTGTGCAACTCCTGGAAATGGTGGCCACCTGCCAAAATAACTGAACATGAGACTTCTAATCCAGGGGTGGGCAAAATGTGGCCCGTGGGCTGAATGCAGCCCGCTACGCCATTCTATCCGACCTGCAGAGCCACTATAAAATTTAGAAAATGAATATTTATCTGCCCCTGACTGCCTGTCATGCAGCCCTCGATGGCTTGCCAAAACTCAGTAAGCGGCCCTCCGCCCAAAATAATTGCTCGTCCCTGTTCTAATCTAAGGTCAGGCCCGCACAACTGCCCAAGCAGCACTAGTAGCACTGTATGCTGGGAGTCCAGGGAGCAACTAACCTCTCTGGAGTCGGGGGACAAAGGCCCAAGCTTCTCTCCAACAGTCCCTCCTTTGAACCTGTCTCCTTTTCTGGGACTGCAAAATCGGAAACAAGCACCCCTCCAGCTCCCAAAAAGATATGACGAAAGATGAGCTTGGGTCTGGACCCAACACCTGACTTCCACGCTCACTCATCCACACCATGCCAGGAGGACAAAAGCATACTTTAGCTCAGGAGTGGCTAGCCTGGGGCGCACAGGCCACAGGTGGCACAGACAGCCTCTGCATGTGGCAGATGGGGAAGAGAGCAAGCAGCACAGTGGCAGAGAGGGTAGGGAGCAGTCAGCATAGCAAGGGAAGGGAATCAGAATGGCATGCAGGGAGATGTGGAGCTTAATTTGTGGCATGCCTGCCAAAAAGGGTGGTTCCCCACTGCTCTAGCTATCAATTAATATTTTTAGTTCTGTAGTAAGATGCTGCAATATAATGCTCGGTGGCAATGCTGAAAGATCAGAGCTCAACCATACCAGTGATGTGCTCCAGGGTAAAGGGATGTTTCAGGTCTACATAACAAAATGTTGTTGTTAACTTCCTTTCCTTTAAAATAACTTGCAATTTAAAATTAAACCCTGTTAAAGAATGTTAAGTTACAAAGTCACCCTTAGACGTTAGGAAATGCCACAGTGCATAAGGCTGTTTATTTACTCTAAAAATGGTAAAGTGTCTAGACTAGAGAGTAAGGCCTGGAATAGCCATCTGGTTAAGGCAGAAGACTGCTCACAAGGTTTTCTTCTAACCCTGACTTTGTTCCAGGGTTCCTATGTATGCTACCAGCCCTAAAGTCTGCATTTTGTCAGGAATCTGCTAACTGTTTGCTTCATTTTCTGTACGGTCTGATCTGCTGAAGTCCCAAGCACTCATAGCAACAGCAACTACCATCAATGGCAGCTGTGGATGTTCAGCACTGCTGGCAGGAGGGCTCTGTCATAGGAAGAAATGAGAGGAAAGTTGAGGGCTCGAGGTCCTGATTTCTAATGTGGCTTTGCCACTGATTCATTTGCTAAGTCTCTGTCTCAGTGTCCCCATCTTTAAAAATGGTAATACTAATAGCTGCACATATGAAGACAAGTTCATTAATATTTGTGAGGCACCCAGATGCTACAGTGGGAACTGCCCTAGAAAAGTCCCAAGGAAATTTAAGATAGCTGTATTTGATGTAGGCTTTGGGTGGTGTGTAATAATTAAGGTAAAAGCCACGAACTGAATTAAGATAACAATTCTGAACAGTTGCTTCAGTCCCTTAATACAACCCAGCCTATGCACTAAGTAGGCTGTGATAATGTCATTGAAGACTGTATCACAAAATATTCACACAAGTCAGAGGCAACCACAAATGTGGTATTTTCTAACATGGGTGCACTTGATTTTGCAACTTTAACATGCTTTAATGTAGGTCGTTCCAGTAATGTAACTAAAGCAGGGCAACCCAGGCAACAGCCCCAGGTGCCAACTTTCGGGTGATGGGAGTGCAGAAAAATAACAGCCGCCGCTGCCACTGGCTAGCCATATCACCAGCACCCAGGCACCAAGCAACCCAGTTAACCCTCTTGGTTGTTGATGTAATATGATGTTCTATAAGTATAACTAATCAAAACAAGTTCCTCAGTAATAAAAACTATATTCTAGAGGCAAAGCAGTAATGAGAAGCTTAAAAATTTTTTTCTGATTATATCCAAAACAAAATCTGAAAAACTCATAGTGAGGGAATTGATCTGTTTAAGAATAAATACAAAATATTGTTAAACTACCAAAGAAGCTTGTGGAGGGTTCTATATTAAAAAATAGCAGGTTATGATTCAAATGGTATAAAATTTACTCTTATGTCCTTAAGCATATACATATATGCCTCACATTTATGAATAAAAATATAGAAAACTAAACTAAATGGTTTAATAGCTTAAGTTTACCTGCTAAGTCCTGAGTTCATGTGAGGCATTTTACAAAAAAGACAGGACCTGACTCAGGTTCCAGCAAGAAATAAAAAAATAAAGTCATTTACAAATGGTTTGGTTGAAAATATATTCCTTTGGAATTTATTAGATCACCCATGTCCTCTGCTACAGATTTAGTATCTTAAACAACTGTTGTGCTTATTCATTTTTTAAAAATCTTTCCATTTGCCTTTAAATAGAAACATTTTCCAGGCAGGCTCTTTTCCTCCTGTTCAGTTATGACTACAATTAGACTCCTAGGCTAGGGACAGACATTACATATAAACCAGTAGGAGTGATTGGAAACTGGTTTAAACCTGTAACAGAAGTTCAGTTCACATAGACTGGTTTCAAAATGGCCAAACCAGCTTAACATAGACCTGGACGGATGTAGTATCAGACTTAACTGATTTAAGTTCAAACAGTCTTTTGAACTTCTGTTCCAGATCCCCTCCTGACCAAAGGTAGGTCTCAGTCCTCCGGCATCCCAGGATGTATTGCAGCCCCCCACTAACCCCTCCCCTTACAGATCCTGCAGGCTAGCCTCTGCCCCAGCATATTTGCTCCAGCAGTCCAGCAGCCCTTCCCCTGGCTCTCATAGAGCTGAGGCAGCCTCCCCAGCTCCACCAGCAGCACCACAGGGGTGGGCAAGGGGGGAATGGGCCCCCACCCCAACCCACAGTGAGGAGGTGGGGGCTGTTACCCGCCCCAGCGCAGCTCCACCAGGCTGCAAATGCTTCAGCCCCACCTCCTTACCAGCCCCGCACCGGTCAGCCATGGGGGGATGGGTAGGGGTGGGGAATGGACTTCCCCCCACCCACTATGCAAACACCAGCTGCAGGAGCAGGGTGGGGGGGTCACCCTGCCACACATCCCCCCCACAGCTGAAGGGGGGAGACAGGAGGCTGATGAGGGGGCAGGGCTGGGGTGTTTGTAGCCTGGTGAGCTGGGAGGCACGTGCAGAAGCTCCCCATCTTCTGGCCTTGACTAGTGTGGGCATCTGCCGGCCTTGGCCAACTGAGGAGTGAACAAGTATTCTGTTCATTAACAGTCCAATCTACACAGCTTAGAGAAAGCTGCATAGATTGAATCAATTCTGCCTAGGGCTTTTTGACTGTCTGTACTTAGCCCTAGAGTGTTCCTTTATTATGGAAATGGCTGGCAACCACAGAGTTATGGTGACTGAAGGCATGTATTTATATTATCATTATTTTGTTATTTGCATGGCTAAATTCTGACTTTGCTCAGCTCTGGAGTACTAAGAGAGTGCTGAGCTATCAGACAGCAAATGAGTACTGATATTCTAGTCATTATGCCAGCTGTGGGCAGGTGCTGGCCAAAGATATCAGGGAAAACTGTGTAAAGAAGCAAGCTCAGAAACACTCCTTACATGTTGTGAGGGGAACAGTATGTGTTCCCCTCACTTCTTATTTCTAGGTTCTGGTAGTTGCACAGACAAAAGAAAGGTGGCTGGATATTATGTTGGCTACCCAGAACCCTAGTTTGCAATGGAGTGAAAGGTCTATATCTGGCTTTCTCCTGTGCAAGTTGTTAGAGGGAAGTAGATCCCTGTACTGCTGCTATCATAAATGAATACACAAGGGAGCATCCAAAATTTAGCCCATCATATTGACGATTCTTTTTAGAAGGAATCGTTTTGGTCTGTGAACTGAGACAAATTATTTTGTAGGAAAATAAGTGCAGTTTTAAACATTCAGAATGTAAAAAGGTGATGACGTAACAACACTGAAAAGAAATGTCATCTCTGGTAAATTCAGCACTGGTGTAGGAGGACATAAATCAGTTGATCTCTGGGATTCATACTTCATTACTTACTGGTATGTTTTTTATTTTCTTGAAATACTTTGAAGGTAACAACAATGACTGTAAGCACAAAAACTAGTGGAAGAAGAACAAACCAAAGGATCTTCAGTGGACACATAGGATCTGTTTATAAAATGAAGAGATAAAATAAAATAAAGTAAGAAATGAATAGTTTGCTTCCATCCATCAATCTATCTAGGTTTTTGTACCCTATACATCACCATGGAATCACAGTCTTACAATTTAAAAGAAAAACCAAAAGGCTTTACCTCTCCCATCCCTTTTCCTCCACCCCCACCAATCACCAGCAGGTAGGGTTGTCTAGAATTTAGCTTCATCTTCATTTGTACACATCTGAAATGGTTAGGTGAAGTATGTGAATTAACAACTCATCTCACTTGGATAATTTTTTATATGTGACTTTTTTTTTTGTCAGGGATCTGTATGCGTCTTCATTAATTACTTGGAAGATAGAATTGAGTGTACATTTAATAAATTTGCAGATGACAGCAAGCTGCTAGGGTAGAGGACAGTTTGGAAGAAAGGATTAGGGTTCAAAATGATCTTGATATATTGGAGAAATGGTCTGAAATTAATCAGGTGAAATTCAATAAGGACAGAATACTGCATTCAGGATAGAAAAATCAAAAGTACAAATATAAACCAGGAAATAACTAGCTGGGCTGCAGTATTGCAGGAAAAGACCTGAGGGTTATAGCAAGCAGCAAACTGATTATGACTCAACAGTGTGCTAGTATTCCAAAAAAAAAAAAGCCCATAGCATACTGGCATACTGGGCTGCATTAACAGGTTCATCCATATCACAGTAAGTGATTCTTCCACTCTGTTCAGCACCGGGGAAGCCTCATCTGGAATATTGTGTCCAATTGTGGGCCCCTCACTTCAAGAAAAACATGGGCAATTTGGAAAGTCCAGAAAGCAACAAAAATAATTGTCAAGAAAATATGACTTACAAGGAAAGGTCAGAAGAACTGGGGTTATTTAGTCTGGAGAAGTGAGACTGAGTGGTGGGGATTTGATAACAGATTTTCAAATATAGAAATATATGTTACAAATATGCTTTGTGTCCACAGGGGACAGGATAACAGTCTCAAATACACCAAGGGAAATATAAGTTATGTATTAGGAATAACTTTCAAAATATGAAGATGGCTAGGTATTAAACCGATTAACTTGAGAGTTGTGGAATCTCCATAATAACTGGAAACTTTTAAGTGTTTGTATATTAGGCAAACACTTGACTGGGCTAGTTTAGACTGAAATGATCCTGTCTTGAGCAGTGAGTTGGACTAGATGATCTCCTGAGGTCCCTTTGCAGCTCCATTTCCCAGGATTCTGTATCAACAGTTGTATGTAGCAGGAAGGCTTATAACAACAAAGGATTATATATTATGACAGAAAAATAGAAGGAACTTGCCCAGTGTGAAACACGTATCTTTGCTAATATCCACAGCCTGATGATCCCTCAGCATACGCTGGAGGAGATAACATTCTGTATATAGAAATCCTCTTACTTAGGAAAATGGGAAGAGAGTCCAACTTCACGACCCATCCCCTAAGGAAACCCTTTTGCTGTCGTTTTATATGGAAAATAAAACCTTCATGGGAAATTGGACACAAGTCAGGCTGAGGCAGTTGTCTGTGGTAACATCTACTGAAAAAACCCACCAGAATTTTGTATAGAATTATGTAGATTATTAAAGCTTAGAGCTATAGAATTGTAGTTACATTAAGTTCCTCTAGGCCCCTCCTAGAGCAGGTGGCAACATAGTGCCTTTAGGTAGCTCCTACTAAGACATCTACCCTTGAGAGAGAACTTCATAGTCACTCGTATCCTTCCCTTTGCAAAAGGCAGTTTCTGAGACTGTCACACCTGCCTACCATACTTGGTTTATTTATTAGGTTTTATTCTTCTAGTGCTTATCCAGAACTCTAAGTGTGTCCCAGGCTTTTGGCCTTTGTAAACAGTAGGAAGAAAAAGAGTTGTTTTTTTTTTAACTTGAGTTAGCTAACTTAACTAATTCAGTATAAATCCTAGTTAAGAGAAAGTGGTTTGTAGTGTTCACACAAGTTATCACAATAAATTAAAATCTAGACTCTATTATATTTTTAACCTGATAATTCTTGTAAAAACTATGAACCGTGTTCTGTATGTTAGGGCTCTATTTCAAATTAGCTGAGCTAAGAACCTATGTACTTGTCCTCCTGAAGACACAGGCTAAAATACAGAAGTTAAAACTGAGAATTTTCAGTATATAAATAAAAAAAATGATAAATTAATACAGTTTCCCAGTTGCAAATACTACATGTGGGGGTGGGGCAATAGGCATGGTAGGCAATCAGCCAGGAGAACTCTTTAAAGGACCACATAGCACAAAGAAAGACTAAAAAAAATTGCCAAGCTGTCTGCTGGAAAGAGACAATTAGCTGAGCTAAAGATTTTTTCCTTACTCATATAGTACTAAGAATATTAGTGGGACAATGTAACAGGGCACTAAGAAAAGTCAGACCTATGGCCCAGTACTTCTTCCATTAAAGTGGATAGGAATTCTAAAATTTACTTCAAAGGCTGAAGGATTATACCAATTAATCTGGCAAACAAACAAAACCCCCCAAAAAACAAAATTAATTTTTGTTAAAGACAAATTCAATAAATTAACAATAAAAAAAAAATGTTAAATTCACAGATGTTAGTTTTCTTGGATTATTTCCAGAAAATATAAGGCAACACTGTTGGAGCAGACCATCTAAAAGCCTTGTTTGCCAAGCAAGGATGGTCTTTCACTAGTTTAATCAAAATTGCACTGGATTCTTGGGGTGATTCTTTCAAGTAGTTGCTTACGGCATGAATTGCCTGCTGGAAGCTTTTCTTCCTTAGTGCAAGGTTCACATTATTTCCAAGTTTGATTTCCCCGCTGATTCCATTTTCATAACTTACTTTCCATGAAAGATGTTAGTTTCAGTGAAATATTTATACAGTCATTCTGGTCTTCCATCATTGCTGTTATACATGAGTAATATATGTTTTCATCTGTTGTGTTTCCTCTTCTGCTTGTAGACTTTTTAATTTGGACTTCCAGTATATAGTAAGTGTTAAATTCTTCACTCTCTTCATTCTCATGAGCCACAGTGAAATTGAAATGTTTATAGAAAAAAATAAAATCTTTTGCTTTCATTTCTAATGATCCATTCACTCTTGAAACTACAAATAAATAAAGAACGTTAAGATATGCTATGTGCTACACAATACTAAAAAAAGAAATACAGAAAAACTCTACTAAGTCTCATTCCTGTAAGCAAACAGTGAGATACATCATTATTGACAAGGAGTAAAATGAACAGAAAGATGTCACATTAGATATTCTAAAGGGATCTGAGAGATACTGATATTTCTAGTCAAAATGTATTTGACCTGAAAATGACAGTGAATTTGTTGTTGTTTTATCTACCAGCTTCAAGGTGATCATTTTCTGTGTTTGGTGGTTGGGGGCATGTGTACACAAGTGCCTGTTTGTTTCTGTCCGTCACTGTCAGGAATAGCACAGACCAAGAATCACTTCAGAAAAAAACAGGTAGGATACTCATAGAAAGTTGAGCTGGATATGACATATAAGGTCGTTTGGTTTCATAATTTCATAGTTTATAGGGTGGGAAGGGACCTGAACAGATCATCAAGTCCGACCCCCTGCCCTGGGCAGGAACAAGTGCTGGAATCATAATACCCCCAGCCATATATCTATCCAGGTGTTTATACATGTGCTCTGGCAAAGGCTTGGGGTGGGGGAGGTGGCACTTTAATTAGAGCGGCTCGGAGAGATGCTCCAATTGAAGTGCCCAGAGCATTGTGTATCAGCATCCCCACACTGAAAAATGGCAGCAGGGACACTTTAACTGAAGCTCGTCAAACAAGCTTTAGTTAAAGAGCCCCTGCCACCTTTAATGCCTCATGCCTCCTGCAGCTGGGAGGGTATGGCAACTGCCTACAGGTGGTGGCAGTGGTGGCAGAAAGGGGACATGGCAGCAGTGAGTGGGGACCGCCTGCAGCTTGGGGGGTTGTTAGCAAGCAACGAGCAGTGATCAGCGACCGCCCGCAGATGCCACCAACAGCATCAGCGGGGGAGGGAGAGGGGTAGTGAGTGGCAACTGGCCACAGACGCTGACAGCAGGAGCGGCCAATCTCAGGGGGGCACAGCCAATCTCAGGGGGTGCACATGTACCTGTGTGCACCCCCTACGCTTCGCCAATGCCTGCTGCCATTTCTCAGTGCAGGGACACTGATACATGTAATGCTGGAGTCTGCTGGAGCGTGGTAATTACCACACTGTAATTAGTGTGTGTCAGAGCAGCCTCAATGAATGTGTAGAGCACCCATATACATTCCCATTTCAGACTACTTCCTGCCCATTTCAGACTATTTCCCAGAGTCTCATCCAATTTTAAATTACTCAAGTTATGGCTCTTCCACTCTGCCAACAAATTACATTTGTATACATCTGTCAAAATCAATAGGATTGCACAGGTGTAATTGAGAGCAGAGCTTTTCCATTTTTTTTTCTCCATACCTGTACAGGTAACTATAGAATGTTACGATTTCTTAGACTTTACATTTGTTTAGTCAGTGTTCTGTTTTGATTATTGGACATATAACTCATTTTAGAAAGACAAAGCTTGGGTGTGTCCTCTCTCCTGGCAGTACCCAGAAGCAGTGGAGGCATGCTAATGTGGGAAAGCTATGCCTTATCCAGTCTCAGTGCCATTTTTGGTACTATACACCCAGGGATATTACAAACTAGAACCACAACAATGTGCACTTTGGTTCCACTTCTCTCTATTCTAACCACAGCCTATCCTTACTAATCATTATTTGTTTTATTATCCTATCTTCTAATGCACTCTTCAGACATTTGGAGCAAAATTCTGTTACCCCTTGCACACCTAGATCGTACTTACCTGGCCATGTGACTGGCATTTTTGACACTTACACATGGTTTACAATTCTATTTGCCTAGCAGTATGAATGTGTAAGTACCTACACATTGTAACAGGGGGCCAGCCCAGGGCCGGGTCTCATGTCAGCCCACCCACCTGTCTAGGGCAGTCTGCCCCATCTTGCCTGCCACAACTTGATGTTCTCTGATATAATAAGTGGGAGGCTGCCCATAATTGCCCTGATGCCAAGGGGTACCTCCCCTACACTGTGGCCCATGCCTCATAGATGGCATCCAGATTATTATTGCTCCCCAGCTTCAGTCCACTGTTGAGTCTGTTACACACTCACTCTGCCCCCCTCTCACAGGGGCATCTCACACTCTGCCCCTCACTGGGCCACTCAACTGCCCTGCTCCCTTGAGTAACCACCTTTGGGCCATCAGGCTTCACTACTCTCACTGTGACACAGCACATGCAGCACCTTCAGTTTGCTCATGCTCCGCTACTCTATGTGGCCTTGTCCTTGTGCCAAATACTGGGCTGCTTCTGCTCCTAGCCCCTCACTGGGCAACTTGTTCCTGTTCTCACTCATGAGGGTTGGCCCATGTACTGCCTTTCAAGCTGCCTTTGCAGCTCTACTCAGTACACCCCTGGTGCAGCCCTTCAGGCTACCCTCAGCAGCCCTACTCAGCACCACACATGCACAGTCCTTCAAGTGCCTTTATGCACCCTACTCTGTACAGGCCCTCACATCAATACTACCCCCTCTGGGGCCTCCAGGGTCTTACACCCCTGCTGGGCTCAAGTGCTGCTTTATAAGCGTGTCTGCCCCCATGCTTTCACAATCACCCACTAGATGGTGGGGGCTGGGGTTAAGGCACCCCTACCCACCTTTCACTGGGCAGGTAACTGGCCTGGAATTTATTGGGGGCTATCCCACCACAGACAGACCCACCAGGCTACCCTTTCCTGGCACGGGAAGGTCATACCCAGAACCAAGAGCCTCCTGCCATCCCCATAGTTCCTGCCCTTACCTCCAAGATGTTCTGGGAGCAGCTCAGCCAGATGTTATTTCCTTGCCTGCCAGCATCAAACTGCTGCCTCCAGCCCTGAGAGCTGGGCTCAAAAATGGCCGCCCTCATCAAGAACCTGGTGGCTGCCTGGGTCCAACACTTAAAGTGGCAGGGACCAAAGTGTGCTGCCACACACATATGTTGTGCATATGCAGTAGTCTGAGCACTGGCCAGGCAGGTACATGTCTATATTTGTGTGTAACTAAACAAAAGTCTTGGAAAAAATTAAGAGGAGGAGGACCCCCTGTTTTCAGCACCAAGAGCTAAGTGGCTAGGACACTCGTAAAGGAAGCAGAGCGCATGAGTTCTAGGAGACCTGAGCTCTAGGCCCCCCTCATCCGGAGGGAAGTTTGAATCTCTGTTTTCCTACAGAGTGCTCTAACCACCAGGCCATAGGCTAGGCACTACCCAACACCCTCTTTTTGAAACTTGAGTCACCATATATTGCATTTAATAGTCTTTGGATTAAATGTGTGGGGAGTAGTGGGGAAGTTTTTTCCTCACTAGAAGCAAGGGTCCAGGCTGTTACACAGGAGCTGTTCCACTGCAGCAATCCTAGACACCCATGAGCAGAGTGGTGCTCAACTTATCTAGCCATGCAGGCTGCATGCGTGTCACAGGACTGGTCCACGGGCCAGATGCCATACATGGGGTCAGTCCACAGGCCTGATCCAGCAGCGATTGGAGCAAAGGGTTGATCCATGGGTTCAAGCCAGCACACCCACATGCCAGATCCAGCCACAGAGCAACCCTGGACTCTAGCCCAGCTCCACACACTGGATCTAGCTACAGAGTGACTTTGGATGATGGCCTGACCCCACTTGCCAGTGTAATTCAGCATGTGGGCCTTGTCATCTGGACTGCAGGGCTCACCACAGGTCTGGAAATTTGGCAGCGGGTGAACTGTAGCAGTGTTAATTTCTGCTGCTCTGGGAGCAATTAACACTGCCACTGCTCCCACACCACACCACCAAATTTTTGGACCCTCAGGGAGCCCTCTAGGCTGGATGACATGTCTTGGCCAGATACAGCCTGTGGACCACAGGTTGCGCACCACTGCTCTAATGTTTCTTTTTCCTCTAGGCCCCATAAACCTCCTCCTCTTGGCTACCTAGAGGGGCAGCTATAAAAGCAGAGCCTAGAGCCGAAGTCTCCTGCTTTCTAGGAAAGGTTTAGCTATTGAAACTAAAACAAAATGCTTCTCCCCTCACTAGTCACAGTTTTTTTGTCTAGCTACAATTTAACTACTTGCACACATACATTGTGTGTACTTATGAAGCTGCATAGCCTGCTATGCATGTTCAGTATATACATGCGCATATATACACATATAATAATACAGGGTAACGTCACTGCAAACTGTGTAAGTGCCACAAAGGCCATTTACGTGGCAGCAAACTGTCATTAGCACATACAAGGTAATAGAATTCATCCTCACTCTCATTGTCTTGTTCCACCACAAGAAAAATCTCTTTTGATCAACTATATTCCATTCATCCTGGAATATTATCTATCTGCATGTACAGTTCCATGCCCAAGTAACTGAAATTAATAAGAAAGTCTGTATGAAAGCTATCCCAGAATATAGCCTTTTAAGAATAAATTGAAGATCAGACCAGAAAAGGGAAGATGGGAAGGATGGAAAAGTAAAGAAATATAACATAGTATATTTTAATATAGTATATTTTGTGTGTAGCCTTCTTCCTGGCTGCTGGAATAGGCAAGATCAGAAAAGGCTCCCTGCAGTCTTTCCTCATAACTTCCTACTTCTGCAAAGGAGCCTAATACAAAGCCTGGGGAAGATAATGGAATGCCTTCTTATGGGGTTTGGATAAAATCCCAGCACAGCAAAATCAAGAGTTAGCTCTAAACCTGAATTTTGCACTTATACCCAGGCATAGATTCCATGGCCTGCCTCTGCATCTGAGGGGAGACTTTGGCATTAACTGTGAATTTTGTAGGAAAGCAAGAAAAACCTACTAAGTCTACAAAGCAGAATTCATATGAATCAGAATAAAGCTTTCAACATCTTTTAACTGGCAAAAAAATAATAAATCCTAGTTAGATGTAATTAACTGCATATAAATAATTATTTGTTTTTCTTTGTTCACTTTCTTTACCTTCTGAGTTTACAATACGTTGTTGCTGTTCACTACTGGAGACTTGGCAAACACTTGGAATATTCTGAATATTGGATTGATTAACAAAGGCCTTCAAAAAGACAGTCTGGTTTTTCCTTTTATGTCGAAGGAAGCTTTCATAAGAATTGTTAAAACCACAGAGTGGAAAAGTGATGTTATTTAGTGAACAAGCATCCATGCATGATATAATAATAGTGCTTTCTGTAAAACAAAAAGAAAGACAAAGTTCTATATTGGCGGGCTCCTCATACAGGAAACACATAGTCAAATGAAAGGACAAAAGTAGCTACTCTTTTACCATGATACAGTGAAATGGACAGTTTATCGCATGAGAATTTTAGCCACATATTGAATATATAATACCATGCAAGATTATGCATGCAAAATGCTCTCACATTCTACATATTAGATTTTATTGCTCAGTAATACTAAATCTCTGCTAATACTAACCTGAATTCATAGTTGTATCTAGGCACTCACCTATTTCAGAGCTGTTAAGTTTTTATTGTTTTTTTTTTAAAGATGAAGCCCTTAAGAATGAAGTTTGCTCTGAAACCATCATAGTTATAGTAAGTCATTATGATTATGTAGACAAACAGCTCTAAGCAAATTTAAACCCATCTCCAATGACAATTTTTCCATAAGGTGAGACTATATAAAGTATACCTGAATTCTCCACACTACAGCTTTTGTGTGTTCTAATGCTCATAAAAATTATCTACCATTTTTGTCTCCTATCTTCTCTACTTTTCTCTGGCTTCCTTGTTAAATTTCAATAACTGTTGGTTGTAGACAGCATTACTGTAACTCAAACAAAGATACCATAATATTTTTAAGTAATTAGGGTTTTTTTTCAGTTTTCTTACTCTCTTCAACATTAAATAATTGCTAGAGAGGGATTTCACTTGTATCTTTGGAATACAGTAATCTTAAATTATTTTAAAATCTGAAAATAATTTTAAAGCAAAAGATACTAGGACTGAACACCAATTTCATTCTTAAGAAAGCAAATAATTACTCTCTCTGCTCATGATATCATAACCCATGATCCAGTAGTTCACCTTTCCACTTCTTACATATCCTTTCTTCTTCATGAATAGGAATTTATGCATGCAACCCCCATTAGGGAGGATAGGAATTTAGTGGTAATAAATTCTCATACATAGAGATAATAATAGATCTTTTATATACACCAACGCCCAGACTGCAGTCTGATGGCTTCAATAGGTTATCTGTCCTAGCATCCAGGGAGACTAGCCTAAGAATCAGTGAAGTGAAGGATTTCAGACAGGATAAAGAAATGGCATCCTGAAATAAATGCCAAAGTCAATTACCTTCACTTCTTGGTGACAGTAGATTAGAAAGTAATATATACTCCATAAAAACACAAATGCAGTGATTTATGGACTACTAGACTGTGTACATAAAATACAAGAAAAATAGTATTATAATATAATAAAGAATCAATATTAATCCAAAAGTAGGGGTTGTTTCTTCCCTTAGATTAATCAAGGGTTTTCTTCAAAATGTAAAGAAGGCAGTAATGGCAAAGTGAACTCTTTCAGCCACATTTTGGTTGTCCAAATACATTTCAAGAAAATGGTCTTTGTGCAGAGGATCTCTGTGGGAATGTGTAGGGAGCTGAATGGAATTCTCACTCCTGCCAGAAAAAGGAGAGATGCTCATCATTGTAGTTACTTTGCAGTCACAGCTACAGTTCCCAGGAAATGTAAATAGCCCTTCTGTGCTACATGCCTTTCACATGGCACATGCAGACACAAGTTAATGAAGGTGCTCCACTTTGGAGCACCTTCATCTGAACCCTCATGTAATGAGGGTTCAGATTGTTGCAGGCTCAATCCCTTTTAAAGCACTCTGCAGCCGTGTACTTGTGTTAGGTCACAGCCATAGAGCATTTTCAGGGGCCAAATCAGGCAAAAATTGTCCCTTCTGTCTGCACCTCAGGATTCTGGACATGTAGTTTGGCATCCACTGATTGTGTTGTGAGAGAGTATGTATATCTATCTGTAATCAATTATGAAGTCCATTTCATATTACATGCTCAATCTACAATTAAACTTGCCTGAGTGCAGCCTGCTATGAAGTGGTTTTTGACCATGACCCAAAGAAAAACATATTTATTCTTATAGAAGTTATAAATACATATTAAAATACTGTACATTGGAAGAATATGAATATTGCCTTACCCAGGAAAAGTGCTTGACATTTCATTAAAAGACCACTGGGAAGCTAGCAAGATTGTAATGTAGGGCCAGTCTCAGCTGTCACTGTATTGTGAGCTCAAGTTTATGAAAGCTTATGATCACTATATCTTAGTTAGTCTATAAGGTGCATATCTACCTTGCCTTCTTCCGTGACTTCAGACTAATATTGCTAAATACCTCTGTCTCCTTAGAACAGTGGTTTGTACGGTGGGTGGAATAAGCATCATTACAGCAAGAAAGAAAG